CACTGTACGGAAGAGGACAAGTGTGTCAACATGGAAGCATCTCCGAAGTACCAGTGCCTCCCTGCTGAGGTCTACGCTTCAAGCTGTGTTTCTGTACTTAGTCATTCTTGACACACCATGATTATTTACAATTAAGAGATTAAATATCTAGCTCCCAAATCAAACTAATGTTTCAATGAAACCCCCACACAGTATAAAATAAGGTTGCTTTAATTACTCTTTTCTGGTATTTTTAGACCTTCCATTATCTGTCTAGAAGGCTTAAAAATGCCCTATCTGCTGGAAATTCTAAGCTTAGCTGTTGTTGAAAATTGACAAAATGCCCCATTTTTATTTTAAATAAATTATACATGCTTCCAAAATAAAAACAATATGAATTCGAAAAAATTGAAAATATTTGCAAGTATAATAAGCTCTCTCTAAACATAAGTGACAGGATTAAAAATAACTCTTTTACATATACAGTGTGACATTTTCATTTTATCCCGAACTATCTTATTTATTGTGTGACTCTGGAGTTTGTAAACAAGCCATAATGTTTCGTGATTACATAATGATGATTTCACAGTTCTAGCTTAGTATAAAGGTGGCTAGACACAGCGGCAAAATCAATTTCTTTTTCATCTTTGTGGGAAAAGACAAAAGGAAATTGAATGCAAAATCGCTCTAAGACCGTATTAGAATTCTAGCTCAGCAATGTGCTACACCTGGGGCGAAAAGCAGGGGTAACCAAGTGTAGTCACTGTACTATGATATGAAGCCAATAGGTTTAAAAACAAAAAGAACCTTTAGTGTCACTTTTGCCTGGTTTTGTTCCCAGCAATGTCCTCCATGCATATGATCTGACACTGTCTCTTATCTCCTCTTACCAAAGGTACTCAGAGGCAAGACTGTCCCTAAGCAAAATCATGAAGTAGGTGAAACTTGTGCTCATTCCCTACGCTTTGTGATGACGGTGTCGCCTTAGATGTTGCCACACCTCTGTCCCCAGATTCCTTGTCCAGTTCCTCATTGTTCTGGATTTGTACTTTGCTTCCCAGAGGGCTCATGCTGTCTCCTGGTGGCCAGTGCCTCTGTGATTGTATCATGTTCCTGCCCAGAAACACTCTGTTGCTCCCAAGAACAACTGGGCAGTGCAGATCTCCCTGCCTTACCTTTTCAGTCCTGCGTCCCACTCTCCCCTTCCCTCTTACTTCCTACTCTCCTCTCCTGCAAGCAGATCATCCCCCTTGCTGTTAAACTCCACAAAGCACCGTTCTATTTCTTTTGTCTGAGCTGGCCTTCACTTCTCATCTTGTCTCTCAAAGTTCGTTCTCAACTGTACCCTTCTGCATATCTTACCTGACCACCCCAACCCCTCTCTGTACCTCATCCATAGCACTTATGCGGCACTTAATTCATACTACTTTGTATTATAATATTTATAGATTTATCTTGTCTGCAGGCATTGTGCTGGATGCTTTACCACTCTAATCTCATTTAAATTTCACAACAGGGGCTGGGGAGATGGCTCAGTAGAATAAGCGCTTCCCTGGCAAGTGCAAGGGCCTGAGTTCAAACCCAGGTTATAAATAAATAAATTTCACAACAATCCAAGACGGTAGGTATTATAGCATCTAACAGTTGAAGAAACTGAGGCTCAAATACATTAATAATTTACCCAAAAGTCACACTACAAGAGAAAAACAGAGGGAGGACCTGGACCAACCTGTCTGACTCCAAATCACACATTCTTCCCTTTATCCCTCACGTCTGTCTGCTCAGTTGTGAGTCGTCACTGAAAGATAAGATGAAAGCTTGAGGTGGAGGAAGAGGCCCACTTCGGGCTTTGGAGTAAACCATGTATTTATCACTGAGGCAGAATTTGATAATTATTTTCAGCTAGGTGACATTGGCTAACTAGAATCTATGAAGAATAAATAAAATGTGGGAAAAATCCACACCTCATTGGTAGAACAAGCAAGCATGGAATGGGACATTGAAAACAGTTTGTACTGTGAGAACTAGAGAACTTTGGTCTGTCTCTGACCACTGTTGGAAAAAGTGATGTTGAACACAGAAAGCCTCCTGAAATTCTCAATTTAAATAATGCAGGGTGGCTAGGAGGCTGAAGATATCCTTACCATGCTACCTAACAAACTAACACTGTCTGTGTTGAATGTACAGTCCACTTTTTTTCATTTATAGTGTGACACCCTAGATGCATTGTCAGAGAGAAAGAAAATGATCCCAGGAGGAAAATCTTCCCACAAAAGATTAGCTTTTACCACGCCCCTCTCCAGTATCCAGGACAATAGAGTTTCAGCTCAGCCCTGAGGGCTCCATTTTTGGGAGAGTTCAGCTCAGAGCCAGGCTCCCTGCTACCAGGGAGACACATAGCAGAGTCCTCATTCTTGGGAAGAACTGACACTGAAAATCCCAGAGAAGTTTTTGTTGTTGTTGTTTGGTATTTTGTTTGTTTCTGTGATACGAAGGATTACACCAAGGGCCTCACATAAGTGGGTAAGTGCTCTATCACTAAGCTATATCTGCAACTCCTTTAAACTTTCTTCTTTTTTTCCTTCTTTTTTGAGATAGGATGTCATTCAATTGCCCAGGCTGGCCTTGAACTTGCAATCCAACAGTACTAGTTCCATTTCACCAGACGCAAAAGCTGTCGTTTCTGTTATCAACTCCTCAACTCCGCATCTCCCAGTTTCCCAGTCTGCATATATCATCAGTTGCATATTTGTTCAACATGAATGAGATCCTTAAGGTTAAAGGGGTCATGCAGTTGTCACTAAACACGTGTCTCTCAGATGCCTCTGCTGACTTCCGGAAGTGATTTCCAGTTTGTGTGCAAATACCACTGCAATTTGTGCATTCTCCTTTTATGCCAATTCCACTCGTACGTGGACCTACACTTTTGTTCCTCATAGTTATCTTAAGCATATATTCATTAAAAGTATTACTATTTAGAAAAATTAACCTTAGACACAGTAATTGGTAATGTGTGTCAGTCCCTTTGCGAAGCAACATAAAAACTGTCATTTTACTTATGTAGTAAATCTAAGGAATTCAAAGAGCCCAAAAACTACTTCAACCACTTGAAAGGAAAAAAGGAAAAAAAAAAAAAAAAACACCACAAACATGCAAGTTCTTTTCTGTTTTTTCCTTAAATGCTTTTATAATTTTTTCTTAAGTTTACGAAGTCCTCTACCTTTATTCAATCTTTCTTCCATCCTTTTATTTTGAAATAATTTCATATTGACAGGAAGTAGGAAGAATTTTTATTCCTACGTAACTCTGTTTCCATTTCCAGCACTTAGATATTAATTACATACACTATGAAAGTCAAAATTTGATGTTGGCATGATTCATTTTTACATTTTAAAACAAAAATTATTTCACATTATGAAAAACTAATACAGTTTTAAATTTCATTCTACACTTTGTTCCTATTCACAAATGGAAGCAATGCTAATTGTCTGGGAAAGGGAGGGAGGGAGGGAGGGAGGGA